CACAAAAAATGCTTCCTGGGAGCAATGATAACATGACAATGCAGCATTTAAAATCTTGTCCACACATATGCCTGGAGCTCTGCAGGAGAGTTACACAACCACTGCTGATGAATGGTAAGGACCCTGCAATTCTCAGAATCTCATTAACCTCAAGCTGTAAGATTTTGGGTGACTAGAAGAGATATGAAATATGAAGTACAGTATTGTGGATTTTTACCAAGACTTCATATCCAACAGATTCAAAACTCCGCCACCCATATTCTCACCCATATAAACTACATATCCCCATCACCCTAGTGCTTGCCAGGCTTCAGTGACTACCTATTGCAGAATGAATCGATTTCAAGATCCTCACGGTTATAATTCAATTCACGCCATGGCACATCCCTACCTCTCCAACCTACTTACATCCATTCCAGCCACCCTTTGCTCAGCTGGCTGGCTCCACGCACCTCATCCCCTCTGCTCCACCACTGGTGACCGTGCTTTTAACCACTGCATCCAAACTGGGGAATCCTCTGCCTGAATCCTCCACCTTGTCAGTCTTGATGGTGGTCAGGCTGAACAGAATATTGCCTTGTGCCTCAATGATGTTTATCGCTTGTGTAACATTGATATTATAGTGCCACTTTGTAGCCTCCTCACTATCAAATCTCTTGCAGCAATTCAATCTTTAAAGATAGCGTTATACAGTTTTCTTTTCAAACACACTCCCGGCGCATTTTGTTTGCAGGGTTTCAGGCATTCTCTAAGCTGTCACCGTCAAAAATCCCCATCAAAAAACAAATGCCTGTTTGGCTAGTTTGGTTATTCACTAGTACATTGGAACAGAACTATCTTGATCATTTGAAAGCCAAGCACCCTTCAGCACACTCGGTAGCTAGCATCATTACTGCAATTTACTTTTTGAGGAAGGGAGGGGATGGTGTTATGGGAATAGAATCTCCCCAGTTGCTGCTCCACTGGAAACTCTTAAAAGGATCTGTCCTATAAAATTAAAAATATGGGCTTCATTACAAGTGGCCAACAGAACAGCTCATTACTCTGTCGACTTGCATACCAATCACTCTGCTAAACGTTAATAAAATTAGCCCCAACATCTTGGAAAATAGCACTCTTTATCCTACAACTGCTACTTCCTGTTGCTCTCTTTGACCTTCTTCTGTAATGAAAGCCTTCTGTGTCCTGCAGTTAATCTCCTCCAAACTCCTCCACCCATATGATAACAAGGACATTTCGCAGTACAACACCTCAAAAGGTTCTTCCAGTCAAACAGATTTCATTTCAAATCGTAGCAGCTCAATGTGCCACAGGAAAACACTGACATTTTTTATGTACTTTAGCATTAAAATTATACCTTTAGCCTCTCAGCTGAAAATTGAACAAGCTATTCAAAGGCTTTTGTCCAATGTAGAATTATGCACCATCATTGCTCGAGATTTCTCAATTCTCAACGTAAACTATGTGCAACACCCCAAAAAAAAAATCATCTGAAGTCCACAGAGTGTGCTTTCCAGGAGGGATCTGGAGTGGAAACACTAAATGATTTTTCCCTTCCTAGCCAGTGGTTAGGAAGCACCCCCACTGAGATCAATGTGTTGCTCCTTTTTGGAAGAGCGGGTCAGTTTTTTACCTACGACACATCTGAAGAAGCACATGTCTTAGGAGTGTTCTCTTTTCATACCTAATTATACTTATTGATCCTGGAAATTTTACTGAATGCATTTAAGCGTTTTAATGAAGTCAGACTGTCCGAAGTTGTGTTTAAGATAAACACATGTCCATAACACAGCAATGTCTCAGCATTGTTTTAACATATTGCCGGCGTTCAATCCAAAAATTAGACCATTTGGAGTTATTTCACAGCCAGATGCACACCACCAAACTGTGCTATCTATTCGTGTTTCACTGCACTCCTCCAGAGACGACTCGTTTCAGAGATCTCCTGATAACACAATGAACCACATCAGGGGCCGCAAAAGTTTAAATTTTGATGGACAAATGAAAACTTTGCAATTATAACAATGACATGCAAGAAGTATACATATAGAAGTAACTTTAGAAAGCATTATCTTTCCACAGTTTCACTGTTAAGATCTTAATTTTTAAATACGCTCTGCACTTGTTAGATATACAAAGGGATCATCACATCGGAGGTTTGTAAGCTTCTGCAACGCACCTTCTAGAATCAAACAATAATGTTTGCAACTTCACAGCTCTGATTTTTTTTCACAGCAACTGATACACATCAAATGGTTTGTGGCAAGCAAGAGTTGAAATAAAAGAAACCCATCGCCTGACCACAAACCTCATAGGTCTATACCAAAAAAAACAGGAACACAAGTAGTCCACTACATTGTTTACCGCATATTAAAGTTCTTAAACTATGAGGACAAATAGTTGTATTCTGATATTGTCACATAGCAGCTTCACAAGGCACACAAAACACCAACCAAGTCAAGTGTCAGCATGGTTCAGCTAGCAGCACATTTGCCAATTGACAAAGTGTTTCAAGCCCCAAATCTTGAGCTCATTGACTGGGGTGACACTCCAGTACATTACTGGGAACACGATCTCCACTAATGGAGGTAACATCTGCCTATAATCATCTGCCCTTCAGGTGGACCTTAAAATTCCATTACACATGAAAAAAATAGGTAGTTTCTCCTGGCAATCTGGCCAAAAATACTCCAATAATTGATCTCCTGCTGTTTGTACAGCACTGCTGGTACCAACAGTTATCAAGTTTGCCTAGGAAAAGAATCACTTCATGTGAGAGAAATTACCTGAGAAACACTTCAAGATGTTTTGCTGTGAGTTTCTACCCCATAAATATGCAAATATATTTGTCTATCTTTCAATTTACATTCAAAAACTATGAGAAGTATTAACCTCTCTCCAAATTAACTAGGAAAATGGCAAATCACATGTTTTTTTTATAAACTGTTAAAAAGATTAAGAACTGCTGCCTCTGGGGGTCTCAGACCCTTCAAAGGATGTGTTTTTCACAGTACATCTGAAGCAGCAGACACGTCAGAATGTCAGAACGGTAGCGGAAGCCAAGCTATTATTTTATCAGCAAGTTGATCTGCTCAGTTCACCTTAATAAAGACAAAATATGAAGATAAATACAATAATCATGTTCTGATGCCTTTGACAAAGTAGCTTTATTAAGAATGCAAAACACCAACTGGGTCAAGTGTTAGTATGGCTCAGTGAAGTGCCTGTCTGCACAATGACCCGCTGTACAATCCACAGCTATTAAAGCAAGGGCAGGATTTTCGTACTCTTGGCTCGCTCATGAAGAATGGCTACTTAGGCAAGGTGCCAAAGACTCTCTGGTGTCTGTTGAATCATATACTTATTATGAAACTGCATCTTCACAAGAAGGATGAAATACTTTATAAGTACATTTGATACATCTCAAAATACTTCATGATTCAGTATTTTGTGGGCAAATGTGACAATTGGCACACAGCAATATCTCATACGCAGCCATGAAGTGAATGACTAGTTTTATCTGGGGGATTGTTGGCCAGGACACCAAGAGAACCTCCCTTCACTGAGCAGTGCAATAGAATCTGAACAGCCAGATGTCCCAGAACCTTGTTTTAACATCTCAACTGAAGGATGGCACCTCCCCTCAACACTGAATTGTAGCGTCAACTTAAGAGTGCAAGCTGAAACCCCCAATGTGGTGTTTGAACCCACAACTTTCCAACTCGGAGACAGAGAATGCTAAAACCAACTGAGCCAAGCTGACACTTAAGAGGTGCAGGAAAATGTAATGAGCTAGCTGTGAAAATATCCGACAGCCACTGCGCACTATTATGCATTGCTCTTTTTAAGCCCAGGGCAGAGGGGCCTCCAGATCCAGACATTAATTTGAATCACGTCAGGCTCTTTTCACGTTACAGATGTTTGAAAACGTCACAGTAAGAAGATTTGTATGTTGCAAATTGTTACCCGATACCAGTCATTTCCACCCCTGGCCAGGATCCACTCCCAATTACTTTCATGCCACCGACCACACTGAGTCACTATGAGCACTTCCAGCAGACAAAACAGTACTGACTGTTGTGTAAGTCACTTCACAGACTTCTAAGTTTCCCACATTTATGACCATCGTCTCACTTTGATTCCGATCTTTCTTCGCCCAACAACAGCAACAAAAAAAATCACACCAAGTTAACCGAAGAGCCTTGTTTCAACTGCATCACTGCCACACAAATCACACCTCGGTCCAAACGCTGCACACTTTGCTCGTTTTCGTTCCCAATTCTGCCCACTCAACACCGCTCTCAAATAGGGAAAACCAATTTGCAACCAAAACGCTGCGATACAAATACAAATACAATCACAAAACAAACCAGCAGTTTCCACGCTTACTTATTTCGTTTTTTTTTAAGAAAAAAAACAAAAAAAATCACTTTTTTTTTAAATTGGCAGAAGTTCCAGGGTATTGTATGTGTCACTCACTGTCCAACTTGGGGGGGGGGAGTGGGGGGAGTGGGGGGAAAGGGACTAAAAAGAGGGATTATTGTCTCACTGAAAACCAAGGGGTCGGTGTCCAAATGGGCAAATCAGAACAACTTGAAAAGGGAGCAAGTTGTTGAAGGCAGCAGTTCAGCCCGAGGTTTCCCAGTGAGGTTTAATGGAGTGAAACTAAACTCAAAGAGTCTGTGTGGGGGAGAGAGAGAGAGAGAGAGAGAGAGAAAACCTTTCATCCCCAAATTACACCCCATTGAAGACAGGCGATGGGGTGAGGACCTCTCCTCTCACACAAACGTAGCGACGGTGTGGGATGGAGGAGAGAGAGAGAGAGAGAGAGAGGGAGAGAAGTCAATGCAAAAGGAGAAACACAGACAGACATTCATTCATAGCAAAACACACCATAAAATCCACACTCTCCCCCCACACAGACACCTCCTCCCCTCCCAAACTGCGACAGGGCCGCATCCCCCCCCCCCCCGGCCCGGCCCGGGGTCTCCCTCACTCACCCTGTGCGGTGGCCGGGCTCCCGGTGCCGGCCCTGGCCCTGGCCCTGGCCCTGCCCCCGCGGCGGCTCCCAGGTAACAAGAGGCTGCGAGCCGGAGAGGGAGGGAGGGAGAGGGGGTCTGGTCACTGCCTCCCAGCAGCGGGTCAGCCCAGACTGGCAGCGGGAGGAGTGGGAGGGGGAGCGGGAGGCTCTCCCGGTGGAGCCGCTCAGTGATGAGGGAGGGAGGGAGGGAGCGCTCGCGCGGGGTCGGTTGGCTGTGCGGTGGCCGCGCGCCGCTGTCACACTCGGCTCGAGCCGCTCTGCGGTTTATTGTGTGGCGGCGCCGGCGCAGCCACTTCCGGTCTCCGGCCCTCCCCCTCCTCCCCCCCACACACTCACCACTCACTCACTCACACACTGCTGTCCTCTAAAGCGGAATGTCTTCTTAAACGAGAAATGCAACCGTTTTCGCTCTGCTCTGCTCTGCCGCCCGCGGACAGGCACCGATCCTTGCACTTGACATGGCGCCTCGTCGCGTTGTTGAGACGTCTCAAAGCGCTTCACGGGATAATACTGTAAACTGTAGTGACTGTGTATTTTGTGGGCAAAACGTGGTAGCCGATAGGAGGCAGCAGTGTCGCACAAACAGGAGCGCGTTTTTTTTTTGTGGGGGGTCAGCACTGGATACTTAAGAGTATCCAAACTAGGCTGAGATTGTCGTACATCCCAACTACACACGGAAATCCCGGAGATAGATTGCTGGATGGAGTGTGCCCTCTCTCTCCCCGGAGGGACACACGCTGCTTACCTAATTCCAGGACGTATCAGGCGCAGGTTGGCAAGAGCCAAGGCTTGGGGGCCCCAGAGTATGTGTTGGGGTAACTGCTGGAGTCTAACCAGCTAAAACCGCATTGCCATTAATATTGCTGTCCGTCAACCTTTCCCGCTGCTTGTCCAGCTCGGACCACCCCACCCATTTTGACTTTGGATTGCAGGGTTGAACAGGATGACTCCCTGCCCCCAGTGACTGGTCTGCCCTTCCAGATCCTGCGATGAGCCAGACTGAATGTGCTGTCATCAGCAGTACCCTGGGACACTGCGGCCCCACCGGGCTTAGGAACCTGACTACCGAGGCCACCACAGAGAGATGGCTCAATTCCAACATTCCATTGCCAGGCACGTCAACATGGAGACAGTTCAGCTCCAAGGAGACAACAACAAATTTACATTTCTATAGCGCCTTTCACATCGGGAACACGTCCCAAGGCGCTGGACAATCAATGTTTCGGACCCAAAATCAAGGAGGGTGGAGAGTAAAGGGGGAAGGAGAGTGACCAAAGACACGGTCGAAGGAGGGTCTTGAGATAAGCTTTGAAGGAGGCAAGGGAGGGGGCGAGGCGGAGAGATTGCGGGATGTAGTTCCAGAGGGTAGGGGCAGAGGAGCTGTTGCCCCAAGCCTCAGAGTTTCCTCTTCAGCTATCTGGCAGACAACTGTCTTCAGCATAGTGGGCAGACCTTTACAGGACAACTTGTAATGTGTCAGCCACCTTGATGTTCTTGAGGACCAAGTCCAATGTTCATAAGGCTTACTCAGCACCAGCTGCTCAATCCAGGTCCTCATGCGAGGGGCCTTGGCAAATAGATGTGCCCAATGTGAAGTCACCTCCACCTCCAGGGTGTTTAGCAGCAGGTAAATCAATGTAGCCTGGAACCCTCCTTCCCTGTAGCCGTTTCTATATTTGCCACAAATCCACCTCACTGCTTGATCCTGGACTTTGCAGATGGGTTGGAGGAAACCTCTCTGCTGCATCCCCAGGAGCTCAGATCCATAAAGGAGGTCTGTTTGCACACAGGCCTTGTATGCCACAAGCTTGACCTGCATTGGGACCTTGCTGTCATTGAAGAGGGATGAGCATGACCAGATTGCCCTTTGCCTCTTCTCAGTGCAATTGCCCCTGAGGTACCGATAAGAGTTAACAATTGGGACTGATGCTCCTTGCATCTTCCAATACCTTTGCACTGGCACACCTGCCCTCCAGGAACAGTTTTGGCTAAGACTCCAGTACAATACTGGGGGAAGCAATATTGTGCATTGCACAAATGCTATCAGGGATCCGGATGAGGTGTTTAACCAAAACACCGCTTTCCTGTTCAGGTGCACACTAAAGATAGCATGACACTAATTATTATTATTAATAATAATCCTTGCATTTGGTGCAATGCTTTATCATGTCAGAAGGATGTCTTAAAGTGCTTCACAGGAATTATTATAGAGTGACTGTATTTGTGGGCAAACACAGTAGCACAATTGCGCACAGTAATGTCCCACAAACAGCCATGGAGTGAGTGACCAATTTTATTTGTAGAATTTGTTGGCCAGGTCAACAGCAGAAACTGCCTTCTCTTTTCAAATAGTGCCATGGGATCTTTAAAATCAACCTGAACAGAGAGATGGGATCTTGGTTTAACGTGTCATCCAAAGGACAGCACCCCAGAACTGCGTTAGAGTGTCAGCATAGACTATGTAAATTTAAATTCCAATGTGGGATTTGAACCCACAATCTTTGAACTCAGAGGCAGAGTTCTACCACTGCGTCAGACTGACACCATTTGTAAAGAGGTCCTGTTCCTCTTTGGCTCCTGGCTAATAGTGTTCCAGGTAAAAATGATCGGGATCAGTGGTGGGACTTTGCTGTACACAACTTGTTTATATTACAAGGTGTGTATATGTCCAGGAAGAGAGCCTTGGCAAGCTATTTGACCAAAGCGGGCATCAAAGTCAAAACCAATCCAGTGTAAACCCTCTTCCCCGTATGAACTCTTCCTTAAACTAGTTATGGGTATTCCCAGTACAGTAATACAATAAGTTTCAAACCATTGGACAGGCAAGCCTGCTCGTTTGATAAAACAATACAGCTTGTGACAGAACAGCACAAATATGTTTTGTGATTCAGAGGAATGGTTTGTGAGATTGAGCAACTTTTAATTTGTGATGCAGCAATTACATAATTTACTGTTTGATTAAACAGTAAAATAAATGGGAAGGTTAGTTTATGGCTTATCAATCATTAACTCAACAATGACATATTAAGCTTCCAGACAGACACCTCCCAGTCCACTTCCTGGACATATATACTGCCCCTTCCACACAGTGACATGGGATGATGGAATTGAGTCAATCCTCTATGGCAGTCTCAGTAGAAATAATAATAAATAAAAATAATCCTTGCATTTGTTATAGCGTCTTCCACCAGTTTCTGAGATGGGTCCACAGTACTTCAAGACACTGCGGATTACAGCACAGCCAGCCTATCTCATCAGTAGGACTTGGAGGGGCAGACCAGTTACTGGGGACAAGGATTCTTCCCACTCAGCTCCTATTAGCCCTGCAAGCCAAAACCCTAATGGGTAGGGAGGTTCTACCTACATCAGGAAAACTTGCCAGATGGTGCTTTTAATGGCAAACTATGTGGTTTTAGCTGGTTCAACTCCAGCAGCACCCCCAAAGCACATTCTGGGGTCCCCAAGCCTTGTCTTTGCCAACCTATGTCTAATACTCTCCAGAATTGGGTAAACTGAATGCATCCCTCCTGGGACAGTGCACATCCATTACACAGGGATTTCCACATATCGATGGGATGCATGGAACACTGTCTGATTTGGATTCTCTTCAGCCTGGTGATGAGTTTCCACATGTGTCAGAGATCCAACTGTTCAAAAAAAATGCTCACAGCAAATATCACAGCTTACCCATCAATTACCCAAATTCTGTTCTCACCCATGGAGGGATCACTGGATTTAAAAAAAGAGATGAAGATGCACTACCAGGAACGTGATCAATGGCTGATTTTTATCATTCCTTTTCATGACCATCACACCGTGGCTCAACAAATATCTCCCCCTACAAACTTCAGCAATGAAGCACTCCCTTCATGCCACAGTATTTTAGAGTAATCCACAGCATCTTATTTTAGAACCACACAAGTCTATGAAACAAAAGGAGTCTATTCAATTTATTATATTAGAGGTGGTGATTGCTCCTTCAATGAGGCCATCTATCCTAATCCCAATTCCCTACTCTTTCCCCATATCCTTCTTCCACAATGTGTCCCTTTTAAATTCCCCCAGTTGACTGTTGTAATAGCTACCCTGGCAATTTAATCCACTCTTTGATTACTTTCTGGAAGAAAATTCCATGACCCAGCATCCTGTTTGCCCTTTTAACAGCCTTCGCTACTTGTAATCTCACCTTTAACAATCAATCCATGTAATTGTATCCCTTTGAGGACTTTGGCCAGAAGAACTGGATCGTTGAATTGCATTAAAAGTACAATTTGTGAAGAAACCAGGCACCAGGCATGTCAATAGTTGTGCTTCTAATACTTCAGATACAAAGTTCCAGAAAGCAATTTTTTATTTCCCCAGTATTTGGGGTCAAATAAAATGAGTGAAATCAATTACCAGCAAATTGCAGATTCTCTCAATTCCAAAAAGGAAAAAAAAATGCAGCAAAACATTGGTTTAATCAGCATAATCATCTTGGAAAGAACACTTGAAAAAATGATGGTAAACAGAGCCCTAAAAGTGACATGGTGTACAGCCAGGTTATTATCTTACAATTAGACAAGCATTCACATTTGACGCTTACGAATAATTCAGTCTGAGCTCAGTTGGCAACACACTCGCCTCTGGGTCAGAAGGTTGTGGGAGATCGAGCTCCACACCAAGATTCAACCTCAGAATCTTGGCTGACCCAGCAATGCTGTTCTGAGAGAGAGTTGCGATGTTAGAGGACGTGCTCTTTCGTTAAAACTGTCTGCTTGTTCTGGTGGAAGTTTAAGATCCCATGGCACAAGTATCAATGAACAGGAGTTCTCCTGGTCCCTGGCTAATATTTCTCCCTCATTCAATTCTACAAACAGATAACTCTCATTGTAGTAAGTGGAATATTGCTGGTATTAATTGCTGCACGTTTGCTGGTGGAAGAGTCAAAGTAACAGTATGAAACTTATTTCACTATAATACAATGCTAAATCAGTTGCTCTTATAAATGTTCCTGTTCACTAAACGTCTCCACTGGGTGTGGAATTTGATTTACCTCCTA